CTTTGCAGAGCTGTCATTTTACTGGAAATATTTATGTTAAATTGATATAGAAATACTTTGATAATTTGCCCAAATAAAAGTTCTTTTCATCCAGCTTGAACACTCTTGGTAGTTTTGTCCATTCTAGTGGAGGTCCTGAACTGTTCAGATGTATCCTTTCTTTTTTTATGCTTTTTAACTCAGCGATTCTCAGCACATCGCTGAGTTGTACTAGGTAGCTACAACTACTGCCTGCAGAGCTATTGCACACTTACAGTGCTGTCTATTCAAGGTTTGCTGAGACACATCTGTAGTGGCTGACAAGTAGTTTTGAGGGGTGACTGATCCACTGATTCACTTATAGACCACTACCCTAGATGAAATCTCTATCTGTTTTTTAATCTCTGGGCTTGTGCTGAGAATTTAGTTATCAGTTGAGCTATTTTATGTAAAGTTTCGGTAGTCGTTGAAGACCCTGTTGGCAGTGCAGGCATGCAGTAAAGCAACACTGTCCTGGGAGGATGCTGCAGCCCACATCCACCCCTTTGATGCCTTTGCAGCAGCCTAATTCTAGAGTTTGTGTGTGAGAGAGAGGAAACTGCTGGGCAAAGTAATCACTCCTCTTCCTCTTGGTATGGGGATCAGCTGAAAGTTTTCCCTGAAGACAGTAACCGAAAGTGGAGTTGATCGGTTTGCCTCATTTATTTCTAACCTGCCTATCATTTTACTCTCTGAGAAGATGAATTAAATCCCATTGTAGATTACTTGGAGGACTGAAAACTAAGAGAAAACAAGGGGCATGCAATGCCTATCTGTGGAAAAATTATCCTGAGGAACATGCATCTTGCCTCTGATATATACAGAAGCATAATTCCCATGAGAAATATCAGAAAGTTGAAATAATACAAAATCATTTTAAATTGCACATAAAAGTCCTTGAAAATGACAAGCTGACAACTTGAAACAATTTTGAGATCCTTCCTGCCAACTCTCATTTCTCTCCTGCTTCTTCATTTGAAGACAGCTTCTCGCCCACAAATGTCTTCAAAAGGTTCTTGGCAGATTGAGCATCCCAGAGCACGAAAGTTTTGTCTTTACCTTCACTTTGTCTCAGCACAAAATAGCTACCTTTCACCTCTGGTTTAAGAGTAAAAAGGTTTAAAGACTAGCTCAGTATTCCATGCACATGCAAATCTGCCTCTGAAGCCCAAGCAGAAATGCAAAATACTGTTTTAGAGCTGCTCTTGAAGTGTGACAAAGAGCTAGAGATATAAGGGTTTGAAATTAGTGTCCCCAAATGAAGCGGTGGGTGTTCTGCATCATGAGGTGCCTGTAAGAGTAGTAACTGATATGTATATTCATATCGGTGGATATGAGAGACTAAGCAATCCCTGTGTGATTCTGGCTAAGCAGGTGAGGAGATTTTCACAAGTCAGAATCACAGAACTGTTAGGGTTGGAAGGGACCTCTGGAGATCATCTAGTCCAACCCCTCTGCCAAGGCAGGGTCACCTAGAGGAGGTGACACAGGAACATGTCCAGGTGGGTTTTGGATGCCTCCCAAGGGGGAGACTCCATGACCTACTTGAGCAGCAGAAGTTCTTCCTTATGTTGAGGTTGAACATCTTCTGGTTTAGTTTATGGCCATTATTACTTGTCCTGTCTCTGGTCACCATTAAGAAGAGCCTTGCATCATCCTCCTGGCACCTGCCTTTGGGATGTTTGTATACATTAATGAGATCCCCTCTCAGTCTTCCCTTTTCTAGTCTAAACAGGCCCAGCTCCCTCAGGCTCTCATAAGAGAGATATTCCACACCCCTGATTCTCTTTGTGTGATGGTGGCAGAAGAAAACATATGACATGGAGGCCATATATATTTATGGACAGAGATCCAAGTCTTTTTAGTTTCATGTTATCCTAAGTAATAACTCTAGTTTGAGTTATGCTAAAAGTTACATTCACAGCAGTGCAAACATGAGGTATTGCCAGATATTCTGATTTTTTGCACTACAGGCCTTTCCAGGCAAATATGCTGTGCTGCTCTCTAATGAGATTATTTATTTGTGTATTAACTTGATTGCACTTATTTACCCCAAAACTGTACATAGAATCTTCCACATCAGTTTTAACATCTCTAGTAAATTCTTGTCCTTTGGTACTTAGGAGCAACCACTGATTACGTTCTAGACTCGCCACAGAGAGAGAAGAATGAATGATTTTTACACTTTTTTTGCAATTTGCAAAATAAAAAGAGACATTCTCAGGAGTTCATCTATGGCATCTTTGCTGCTATTTCAATGAAAGGATTTAGGTGTCTAAGTATATAAGAAACTTTTGAGAACATGTTTTATCTGTTCAAGTCACTTTGCAGCATCTGGCAATGCTGTTCCCATTGGCTCTAATCGGTGATTATTGCAAACCATCTTTGTGATTTCAGATGTGGTGGTACAGTGGTGCACACAAGGAGACCTACTTGCAGTAGCAGGCATGGAGAAGCAAAACCAGCTGGTCGACCTCAGCAATGGTTCCCTGTTGAAAAGCGCACTCGTCAAGTTCTACAATGTGCGTGGGGAACATATCTACACTCTGGAGACACCTGTACAGGTAGGAGTATTTTTAAAGTCTGTTCTCAATGCTTTGCTGACATGTTTTCCCCACATTAGCTTATTGGTATAGAACTGTAATGTGGGAACAGTTGCAAAATGTCCTGAACATGTTCTAAAACACAAGCACTGTACATAATTATTGTTTGCATTATGGTAGACATCCAAGGCCTACTGTGCTAGGTATTGTGCAAAGACTTAATGAGAAAGTCTGTTTCCCAAAATCATTGGGCCATGAACAGACAGATACAGAAAAAAATTTTGTTGTTTTGTAGGTAAGTGACTGAGGAGAAAAAGCTAAGTAACTTGATTAACATTGCAGCAGAGCCAAGAGCTGTACAAAAATATTTCAACTCCAGTATCATAACTACAAGATTATTCTGTCTTTGTTATTGCTGTAATTTTCTAATTTACAATCAGTTGGTCTGATGCAGTATTTCACTTTTTATGGCATCAGATGGGAAAGGATGAATCAGAAAGTCTTGTTTCTGTTCCCACCTCCTATACAGACTTTCACAGTAACCTCAGTCGTGTAAATTGACAAGTAAATGTCAATAGATGGTCTGTGTTGCTCAGGAGCACAACATGCTTCGTAGGTCTTTGCTGATATTTCAGGACCCAGCTGAATGTAACTGTTTCATTTTCTTCAGAATAGGGATGACTTCATTCCGATTTCTGACTATTTGTAGTGAAACTTTGTAATAGCTTTGAAATCTAAAAGTGAAGGAAAATGCTATAGATATATTAACTTAATTATGTTAAATGATGATACCATGCATTATCTTTTTTTTTCCAGTACCTTGATCTGGGATGAAAACAAAAGGATGACATAGTAAACCAGTTGCTCAGCATTTGTGTTTGCTTATATTTAGCATTAACCTGTGCTTATTAACTTTAGCACTCTAATTTAGATAGAATTCTTAGGTAGTATAATGTGTAAAATAATGGTGTCTAAAGCCAACCTAAATATGTACGGTGACATCTAACGCTGATATAGGTACCTAAAGGCCTTACCCATAAACACAGCTTTAGTGTCTTAAACGTAGCCTTTTCACCAAAGTAGCACAGCCCTTTCCTCTCTGGATCAATTCTGGAGAAAACATATTTATATCAGTGTTGCTTATTTCCAGACCAGGTAAAAAGCAAACCTTGTTCTGTTACCTCAGTACCAGAATACAGTATGTCCACATTAGCTGTTGAACCAGTGTAACACTCTGGTGTCAAGCTATGAAATCACGTTGTGGTTTGAGCGTCGGAACCGATCGGGTCAGGTTGCCTTAAGGTATGCGTGTGGGGGCTCTTCTCTTCCTGCTTTCTGCCTGGGAGTCTCAAATTCTCCTCCATTTAGATACCTTCATTAGTTCTCTATATACAGTTTCAGCTTCTTTTCATGTTTTCAGCTCTTCTCCTTTCTTCTCTACTTAGTCAGCTGGGAGAAAGCACATACTGTGGCTGACATGGGGACTAATTATTCTGCCATTATATGAGTAATTACAGGGCAACTGACAGGTCATACAGAACAGGTAACTGCCAAGTTTTTACTGCAGTATTTCTCATAGTGTAAGTGGTCATGTAAACCTCTCTGCTCTTTCCAGCTCTAATTTTTGTGGGAATTGCAGTATTTTTATGTAGAGATTTCTTCCCCCATTGTCAACTGCAGATGAAAAGCTGACAACTTCAGAAGTTATAAACCAGGTTGGAAGTGAAGGATGGGGAGGGTCAGGGGGTGGTAACCACCACTTAATAACAGAACCATGGAGTCTAATTTCCTTTGGAAACAAGGATGAAAATAGCACTCAAACTGATATATTTATGTTTATTTAAAAACTGTGCACATAAACTTGCCTAAAATTAGAGTCTATTCTTTTCTTAGTCAGTGTTTATTCTCTTTATTTGGTGCATCTGAATTCACATTTACTCAGCTGCAGGAGGAAGTGAGGGATCTTTCAGAAGGACACCTGTATCTGCTCATGTGGACTTTGTTCTTCTATGTATTTGAGTGCTGGTCTAGCAGTATTACCAGCTAAGTGACAGGTATGCTAGAGCATTGTTATGCATTTGGTTTACTATAAGAACCAGATAGAAACTGCTGTTGCAGTGAAATGGCTGGTAACTTTAGTTATGCTGTACCTCTGCTCCAAAAATGTATATGCAAAGGTGACTGAGTCAGTGGTCCCAGTAATTTGCCTTATGACAAATTAATCAGACTAAGTTGATTAGTTTTTTCGGCCATGGCAGTCAGCCTTGTAATGGGATTTTATAAAAATCATCACTGGTTATTAGAAGAAAAAAAAAATCGAAGAAAAGAATTTCCTCATCTTGAACTCTTCTGCGAAAACATTTTCTTCTGAAGAAGCAAATGTGTGACTGGAAAAGGACATTTATTCTAAATGAGTGTTGTTCTCAATTTAAAAGGCCAGAAAAAGTAAAACAACCGTGAACATAGAAAATAGTGGATTACAGGTGCAAAACTGATTTTCCATGTAGTCCTCTGTCCCAGTTCTGTGATAAAGCAGATGTCTGAAAATTTTATCAGTAAAGCATACTGAACTGGTTTTGCTTCTGCTGTTTGTCTGTTCTGCCTTCAGTAGGATATTCAGGAAACAGGAAATTTTATTGTTTATAACAAAACTCAGTCTAAAACTGACACAGGATTTATATGCGACTTGGTTGGAATGCTACCTAAGATAAAGTCACTGCAAACCCCAAAGGTAGAATAGATTTGGGTACTGCAGGTAACTCATCTTGATGATTGTTGTCATGGAACCCTTCAAGGTGTTTTATATGCTACCTTCTTCTCCAGCTTTAGTATGGTTTTGGCATTCTCTGCCTCACTTGATTAACTCTCATAAGCTTTTACCTTCAGTGTAGGAATTTATAGTTCATAAACCTAGTTTTCTGGCTATAAAACCCCAGATAGGGAAATCACACTTGTTTAGAAGTATTGAAATGAAAGCAGTAGATTTGAGGGGAAAGCAATGTTCATACACACAGTGTTAGAGTTAGCACGGTGTAGCAGTCTCTCCTGTTCCCTGCCCTGGGCTTCAGCCTGCCACCCTGCCATACTTCAGGAATGTATTGGCAGAATATAGTGAAAAGAGCAGAAAAAGCATTGATAAGGGTTGTCACATGTTGAATTTCTGCTACACAGAATCAAACCAGTTTGAACCTTGAAAGAATGACGAAAAAATTTCAGAAGAAACTTCAGAATGTCACACGAGACTTTAATCTTACTGGAAGCAGTTCTGTGAGAACTGGGTGTGTACTATGACTCCAGAGTCCATACTTGTTATTTATTTTATACAAAGGGTATATATCTTAAGGGCTGTTGGTCAACTGCTGACTATTCAAAAATATACTATCGATTTCTGTAAAATGTATCTCTTACTACACTTGTCCTTGTACCACCAACCTCATGTACCAAAAATATGCCCTGTTCTTTTAGCTGACCATTTTTTCATGGTCCTGCTTTATCAACATGTAAAAATGTGACTATAACAGTAGGCTGCCCTGCTGGTCATAATTTTTTTTTATTGGAAGAATGTTAATTTCTTACGTTTTGTTTTGTTTGTTAAATCCTCACAACATTTCCCTGGCATCAAGCAGGGATGAGAATAATCAATTCATTTAAGACTGTTTTATAGTCTTGCTAAAATTGTTTACTGGAAATGCTGCAACCCAGTTCTGTCACTTCAGAATTTCTCATCTAATGTGCAGACAGGTCTTTATTGTATCAACTAACTGTACCTGCTGTCACTTCTTAGTGGATACAGCTGCTTCATATCTTCTCATATCCTGAACTTTAAACAAAAGTCTCCTACAGGATCAAAATTATCTAACTGCCAACTTTAACAAACCTGTGATTTTTTTTTCTGTCTGATGGTTCAAAGTTGTAGTTTATATTTTCGTTCCTTCTTCACTTTTGGTGATTTTCTTTTTTTTATATGTCCTATCGAGGACCAGGGAGAAAGAACGTGGATTTAGAAACTTCAGTGCAGATCTCATCTATACACCTTTAATTCTACAGTAAATCTACATAGCTTATGATTTTGTATCACTGTGTAACTGGTGTAAGAACAGATTAAACCACAAGTGCAGTGAAGAAGAAGGATGAGAGTGAACCAAGCTCCACATATTGTATAGACAAGAAGATTAAATGCAGAAAACCTGTGTTTATCAGTGTAATATTTTTAAACACTAATTCAAGGTGGTGTAGCAAAGACTAAATCTTTATGGGAGAAGTTTCCAGAAGTGTTTTTGAGAAGAAGTCCCACTTGCTATAAACCTGCTGCTGTCAGCATTTCACAGGCAGCTCCTCTGCTGGAAATGTCTCAGCATCTAAATGAATAGACTAAAGATTATGTGATCCTGTAGAAACCTGGTAGTTCTGCAAAAGCTATTTTACTAAGGCCTGAGAAGGAAGGTGCCATTTTAGGTTAAATTCAGATCAAAAGACTTTGAGTGAAGAGGCTGTTTTTCATGTTACCCAGCTGAGCAGATCTTGCTTACTTTGTCTTCATTTATTTCACACAGAGTGTTCAGGTTTGTTTCTTCTGAATTAATGTTGCCTTTCATTTATATCTCCTGAAATCAATCCTATTTAGTTGTTATTGGACGACAACAAAGCTTCGAGAAGAGTTTATTTTCTTACGGAAAGAGAAACAAAAGCAACAGTTTAGAACTAACTGATGCAACATGCTTTAGGATATCAATAAGGACCTTGATATTTTTCATATAGGCTGTAAGTTCATCTGTGACTGCTGCAGAAATGGATTGTGGTCAGGACTGAAAAATGGACACACTTGTCTATGCAAAGACTCATTCATTCTGCTTAAATGGAATCTCATTATACTGACTTCTTAAAAAATACTGAAATAGAGAGTATGTAAGACACATCTGCAAATCAAATGAGTTTATTACATGAAGAATCATATAAGGCCACAGCAGTGTAATTTCTGACCACATCATAGTCTTTATTGCATTTATCACCATCAGTCCTTACCGGTTATTATTTTTCCCCACTGTAAACATGAGGACAGAAGGATGAAGGAGTTAGAGTACTTTTCAGCAGCCATCCATGAATGCTGTGGCAGTACAGAGATGTGCACACACAATTCACAAGAGCCAGGTGGGCACTGCAGCCATTGGATCTTTCAGCTTGTCTCTGAGAAAAGCAGAGGGAAAAATGTGCATCTCCACATCAGCAGTCTGAAGTGAGAGCAAAGCAGGCAATGCCCTTACACACACCATTCACTAGATAATATTTTGCAGTTCTGTTCTTTCTCCTGAGGAAAGTCCTGCTAGGTCCTGGGCTTTCTGCCCTGGAGTACCATTTTGATTTCATTACCAGTGGGAGTCCCAGTGCCAGCAAACAAGGGATTAGTTGGAGCAGCAGGCAGGCCCCGTGGCTCGGGATTTCTGAGCTCAAGGCAGGCAGCAAGAATCAACTTGAACAGTGTTTTCCATGACTGAATTGCATACAAGTGATGGAAGGTATACAAACTAAGTACTCTCCTGTAAGAGAAACAGGTGAGTGACTTACAGAACTCTGAGCAGGAATATCTATTCCTGCATGCTTTTCTAAGGGGAGTTGCCATCCCAGCTGGGGGTACAATTTGAGTAGATGTAGCTGATTTTCAAGCAAAAGAGCTCCTTGTTGTCCACTTGCAGAGATACGGTTTTAGTCAGTATTTCTCCTGACAAAACATCTAATGTTGTTTGTCCTTTAGCCAATTATTTCTAATACATAATTGTCATAGAGTCGAATCCTACCTATGTGTTCAAGTTCAAGGTTTTTTCCATTATTTTTATTCCTACATGTTTGTATTTAAACCCTGGAATCCATTCAGGTATATACAGTTCGTACTGAGATTCTTCAAAACTTGATGGGATTTTTACATACAAAATGAGATAAGAATTTTTCGTTAATATTGTATTTGTAGCTGCATTTCCTTGTTTCTAGCAGAAAAAAAAACAACTGTGCAAGCAATCATTTTCTAACAGGTTCAATTTGGGTACAACTTTTTTCCTTCCTTTCTTTGCTAGAAGAGTGCAAATAAGTGGATGTTTTATGAGGAGCAGTACTTCTGCAGTGGATGTTAGAGTTCAATTGTTTTTTCTCAGTAGAGTTTGAAAGGAAAGCTGTGGCCAGCTCATAACTGACTTGCTGCAGTAATTGATTCATGTGCCTTGTCCATCAAGGGCAAGAGTGGGAAGTGTAGTTATTGAAAAATATTATTGGAGCAATACATTTAAAGGTCAGGTCAGATCTGGCATTTGGATGATCTTTTATTTCTCCAAGCCTGTAATGACAGGCTAATTTTCCCTGAACCTCATCTTAAATCTTAGACCTTCACCATAAATTAAGTGTCAATGAATACTAGTCTTGAGGAGTACTGAGTGTTTGAAAAGTAGAAAAGTCAGGCAAGGTGTGACTAGTGAATCAGTAAGCAAAGACAAACCAGTGTTCTACAAGTGCTCTTTGATGAGATAGAAAATATTAAGATTAAAATACATGAGGTGAGTGGGGAGACTAATTGTAGAAATGGAAGAGTAGAAATGTCATTATTTACAAACAGTACAACACTTGTAGGTGTTGTGTGTTTGTGTGTGTATTTAAGCATGCACCCACTCACACATTGTTTGCATAAAAGTACATAAACAGGATTTTAGAGCATCATACATTCAGAAGTTTAGAGGTGACTGAACTATGGTTTCCTGTTGGAAAACTGTGGTGAAGTCAGGCAGGGAGGCAGTGTCTTTTGACTTCTGACTTTCTGCTCTTCCTGAGCTCCACAGTGCTGTGTTGCTGGAAGTCCCACTGTGCTGCTTTGAGCTGAAGTAGAGTTAACTTTCTTCACAGAGGCTAGTATGGGGCTATGTTTGTGTTTTGTGCAGAACACAGAGTTGATAATGCAGAGATGTTTTTGTTACTGCTGAGCAGAACTCACACAGAGTCAAGGCCTTTGCTCTTTCCGTGCTGCCACGCTGGCAAGGAAGTTGGGGGTGCATGGGAGATTGGGAGGAGACACAGCTGGGACAGGTGACTCAGACTGACCTAAGGGATATTCCATACCATATGACATCATGCTCAGTATATAAGAAGGAGGAAGGAGAGACATCTGGAGTGATGGCATTTGTCTTCCCAAGGAACCATTACACGTGATGGGCCCTGCTCTCCTGGAGATGGCTGAACACATCCTGTCTTTGGGAAGCAGTGAATTAATTCCTTGTTTTGCTTTGCTTGTGTGTGCAGCTTTTGCTTTCTCTATTAAACTGTCTTTATCTCAACCCATGAGTTTTTGTAGCTTTTACCCTTCTGATTCGCTCCCCCATCCCATTGGTGGGGGAGTGAGTGAGTGGCTGTGTGGTTCTTGGCTGCTGGTTGGGGTTAAACCACGACACCCACCCAGTGTTTCAAAGGTTCTGAAAAACCTTTTCATTGAGACAGTGTTTAAGATTGCAAAGGTTCTTGCATTGGTACTATCTGCATCTCTGCTGTGCTCTGCATGCAGCAGTAAGCTGAGTAAATAAGTGGCTTCATTTGATTCTGTTTGGATGAGCAATGTCCTATCTGGGTGTGATGTATTGGGTTATAATAGCTGCAATACTAGAGGTGATGGCAGGGCTGTCTGGGTGTGCTGTATTGGATTATGATAGCTGGGATATTAGACTTCTGGCATTAAAGCCTATCCAATAAATAAACATTTGTGTGCCAAGTCACATACTTGTTTGTTCCCTCACTGTATTTATAGGTAAGCTGTAGTTGATGCAAGCTGAACAGAAGGATGCAGTTTGGATCCCATGGTGACTATCAGGTTCTGCCCATGCTGGAACTCAGCCCTTGGGGAAAAGCAGGGTCACTTCTACTAGTGCCATTCTCAGGCTGTCATGTAGTCAGGATGGCAGGTACCCAACCTGTGCCAGTGCCTTTTCAATTGCGTTTATTTTGCAAGCAGCTTGAACTGCCTCATTGTCAGACAGTGTGAGGGCTGAGCCACACTCGCGAATCGTGCAAGTACCAATCAGGAGGGGATACTTTATAGGATCTCTCATCAAATTTAGGGCTGTATCCCACAGATTATGGTTATGACAAACCACATAGTAATTATTGATGGTACACAAAGGATTTCTCAATTCTTTTGAAGTTCTCTGCTACAAAATGCCTTTAGCAATTACTGTGAAATTCACAAGGTTCACATGTTGCTGCTTTCTATTTGCATATCAGTCAGCCTGAAGATTTGTGCCTTCATGGAAGTGTGTGTGTGTGGTGTTGCCTAGATGTAATTAAAATGAAGCTTATTCATTCCTCCCACTTTAAAACCAATATTTTCCTTGAAATTTAAATCTAGGATAAGATGGCATAGTAGGGAAGATCTTTTTCAGGGAAAAGGTTTTTCATCCAATGCTTTATCTTGATGATAGACATTGATACAGTGCTGTGCAGTTGCATTTTGCTTCATATAATTCACATATAAGACATATTTTCTCAATTTCTCACCTTTAAACATCTTGAATTTGTAACAAAAAAAGGAAGGGAAAGGTTATTCCCCAGACTAGATTAGTAACTTCTAGACTCATCTAACCCTGCTATCTGGGTACCATATTGCTAATAGAGGAGTGTATAAAAGCTATTATTGGTGGTGCCTTGACCCTGTCTTCTTATTTCATGCATCTTGTGAAGAGAAAAGACATTCCAAAGATACCCTGACCTTTCAGTAAATACAGTTTGTGATTTAGATGAAAAACATGTTTGTTTAAACAGTTGATTATCATGGATTATGAAAATAAGGAAGCACTTCACAGGAAAGAGTAAACCTGAACTTGGTAGACGATTCCTTGTGTGAAGACCTTTAAGCCTTCAGAGTAAAAAGCACTGTATAAATATCAGCTGCTGCTAATGATGATTTCAGATGTTCACATTGCCCTTTTTGTGGGCAGTAGCATGCACTTTTAAGTTTCTGGAAGACTTAGGGTAATATGATCGGTGCTGAATTCACGCGATTGCTTGCTGTGCAGCTGTCTTGGGAAAAGACCTTTTAAAAAGCCTTTTAAAGTTGTGTCCCTTTCCTCCTCATTCAGCGTCCCATCATCTCGATCTGTTGGGGTCACAGGGACTCACGCCTGCTGATGGCTTCTGGACCTGCCCTGTATGTTGTCAGAGTGGAGCACAGGGTGTCCAGCCTGCAGCTGCTGTGCCAGCAGACCATCGCCAGCTGTCTGCGGGACGACAAGGATATCAGCAAACTGACCCTGCCCCCTCGGCTCTGCTCGTACCTCACCACTGCCTTTATACCAACAATCAAGGTAAAAGGAAAGAACTCTCTGGGAGTGTGAGGAAGAGGAAAGGGTTACTTGGAAGGGTTAACCCCCCCATGGTGCTCCTAAGTGACAAGGGCTAAATTATAAGATATTACCATAATTCTTATTTTAAAAGCTTGATTAAGGGTCTCTCCTGTCCTCTTCAAGAGCCCACTGGTGTATTTGGTGCCTATTAAAAATCTGAAAAGGAGGCTCATACATGTGGATCTGCATTATTCCATGGAGATGGCCTTTCCAAGTACATTCCAAGGGTAAAATAGACTGGTGACTCACAAAGACTTCTGAAGAAGCTCATGCTGATGATAATACTGTGTCATGGTTATAGGAGGGATTCACAGTGGTGAAACTCTTGCCTCCTTACCTGTCATATGAGTGCTTATATTGCCAGGAAAGTTATATTTAGGACCTGGCTTTGCCCAAATATTTCTGCTGGCAGTGAGATCTGCTAACATTACTTCTCCGACAGTTCTGTGGACAAATGAATCAGATATTATGCCTTCTTCTGTACCATGAGCAGAACCATCTCCACAACCTCTTTGTTTGATGGTTTTTGCCCTCAGTAATATCTTGGGATTTCCAAAATCTGTATCACAGCCTATAAACCAGAGCATTATCTGGATAATGCTCAACATTAAAACATACATTTTTGTGATTTTTCTGTGTATATGTTACAGCATTCTCTTGAGCCAGTTTCAGGTCCTTGTTAAAACAATGCAGATACAGAACAACTCATTTGAAATCAGTGGGGCTGGCCCAGGTTAAATGAGGACAAATTATGCCTACAAATAATAATTCAGCACAGTTCCATTTGGGCACTGCTAATCAGGGCAGTTTGTGCAATGTAAAATATTTCATTTGCCAGCAGGGCCAAGTAACCCCCCTGAGCTTTGTGCTCATATTTGTCCACACTGCACATAGATAGGACCTCAGCAAAGATGAGAAATGTGCTTGGAAGTGATATTAGACATACAAACTTCTTTCAGAGCTGACAGCATTGTAGCATAGTGGCATACCATGTACCAGTACTAACCAGGAATGGGAACCCAAGTGGACAGGTTCACTCTGAGGGCCAAGGAAAGACAAGATACTCTGAGACTTGACTTGATGACCACATTACCCAAGTTCAAAAAGAAGTTTGTGATACGAGCCAGAACTTGAAGACAGGTTTGTTGTCTAATTCAGTGCTCTGACCACAGATTCAGCCTTTCTTTTTGATGTAACTAGTTTTAGTTTTCTGTACACAACTGTTTTTGACCTAACTAAATAATGCACAGCCACTCTGTCTGGCATGTGAGTCCTGCATAACTTGCGCAGTTACCTGTACTAATCTTCACCTGCCAAATTAGAGTTGGGTTCAAGTTCAGTTAGTTGTGTTGGGATTACATCACCACGCTAAAAAAAACCAACCAATAACCTCCAGGAAACTTTCTCTTTCCTTCCTTCATTTAATTAAGCCTCCTATCCCAGACCCAAACAATATGAGGGATTTTGTCAGCTACCCAACAGCTGGTAATGAGCGGCTTCACTGCACGATGAAGCGGACAGAGGATGACCCAGAGGTCGGTGGTCCATGTTATACTTTGTACTTGGAATACCTTGGAGGGCTCGTGCCTATCCTGAAAGGACGTCGTATCAGCAAGTTGCGGCCAGAGTTTGTCATCATGGATCCTAAAACAGATGGAAAAGCAGGTAGAATTGAAATTCTTTGTCTGTATAAAAATGATTTAGAAATACTTTAAATATTAAATCCTGAAGAGTTAAAAAAGAAAAATTTATATATGCAACATGGATGGTGGCATCTGAAATTTTTTTCTGATGGGGAAAAAATCTTTAGCGTGGTCTGGACTCATGCCTCTGATATTACACCATGCTGCCTTCTGTTTTACAAAAGAGAACTTCCTGTGTACTGTAATTTCCTGTAATGGAAAATAGATTGCTAATTAGCAGAAAATATTTTTGAGTCTCAATTTTGAAGTTGATTGAATGCTGTTCACCCTTGGAATGATGTTCACGTGAGTTCAAACCATTGGAAATTTGAAGTTTATACCAGGCAAGGTGAAGAATGTTTAATTTTTCTCTGCATAGTTTTATTTCAACTGCTGCCTTTGGATTGGATTTATGTTTCTGATGGCTGAGAGCTGTAATTTATACCAGTTTTCTGAAGCAGCACTTAAATTTTCCGGGGCCTGTCTTGATAGATGAAATCTATGGAAACAGCTTGATTTCCACTGTGATTGACAGCTGCAACTGCTCCGACTCCAGTGACATCGAACTGAGCGACGACTGGGCAGCAAAGAAATCTCCCAAAATCAGCCGAGCTAGCAAATCACCTAAACTCCCCAGGTAATAATTTCTTGGATATTTCTTCTTCCGTTTCCCCAGGTATCCTTCTTTCCTCTTATTCGTGACCATCTTTGTATGATGGGAGGTAGGAATAACTTTTGGCTTAGCTAAGAGCACTGATGAAGTTTGTGGAGCCTTGGTTTGCTGTACTAACACGGAGATCTGCCAGCTGAGGTCTCATGTTTTCATTTCTTGAGCAAACTTTGCGGCAGCCAGGAGGGCACACCATGACCCTGGGGTTATTCTGTATCGCCTCACCCAAAATTCTCCATCCTGTAGACTCTACAGTCTTTGTTAGTCACTTAGAGGACACCATGCCAGTTGTCTTCAGTGCATCTTTACCTTCAAAGACTTGAATTTTGTTCAATTTTGCTTGCCCGTTGATGATTCTAGTTATTGCTCTATCTGCAGAATCAATATAGAAGCTCGCAAATCTCCAAAGATGTCACGAGCTGCACAGGAGATATCGAGATCGCCAAGGTTACCAATAAGGAAACCCTCTATTGGTTCGCCAAGCCTAACCCGAAGAGAGTTTCCTTTAGAAGATATTACTCAGGTATTGTGCACATCGTTACTGTACCTGAGTTCAAATGCATCTCCTTCAAGAGGCAGCAAGTTGTGAGAGAGATCCAGTGATCACCAAAAAAATTTTGGGTTTACTTACAATAACTAGATGGAACAACTAGAGAGTTGCATCTTTCAGTTCAGTGTTAATGTTCAAAAGTGCCAGTGGAATATCAGTGTTTGATAAATCACAGGAACATTAACTTCTGTTCATGTAAATCCATGTGAGAGGTTTTATTCTAGGTGATGTTGTTGGCTGTTTGAAAGGGTATGTGAAAATGCTTCATTGGTTTCTCAGGACTATTTTAACACCACCATAATTTTCTGCTTTGCTAGGGATTGCAGAGATATGGAAATGTTTGCTTCAGATGACCACATGTTCTCTGTTTCATAATTAACATGGAACAGTCTTAATTGGAAGGAAGGCAAAGAATTAGCACTTTGTACTTTCTGTGGTGTTCAAGTCCTCTGGGTAAATGAAGCTTAGCAAGCCTTAGAACTGTCTGGGTTACATATTTTATTAATAACAGCCTGTGTTCTTTTAATTTTATTTTGTTTCATTTGGGGGTTTTATGCTCTCTCATTTCACTTTCCTTTTTATGAAATTTTCTAGATCGGTTACACAGCAGCAGTAGATAGGACCAAAAGTCCTCTGAATAGGGCAGGAGACCTGAAGCTTAGTCCTGCTCCTAGTATTGACAGCGTAACTCCTGGTCTTTGATAAAATCTCTTGGCCTCTCAGACCTGTAATATGTTCACCATGGCAGCAGTGGTTTGGGGAGCTGCTTTAGGAGCTCCAGGAAAAAATATATTTGTTGTTATGAGTAATTAATTTCTATCTTGTTTATTGTTCTATGAAGTGATTCATGAGCACAGAAGCAACGGGCAGTGTGTATTACTTTCTGAAACACAGAACAGCTGTGCTCTTGCTGTGAAAAGCAAGTGTCTGAAAACAGACCTGTTCTCACCAAGCCGACATCGTGTTGTTCAGTTCTTCAGCTGCTTTAATCAGCCTGTGTACATAATTTCTGATGGTGTTCAGATATCAGAATGAGTCTTGGTAATGACTGGGTAAAACAGTTGCTACGTAGGCACATTAGGCTGTTTCAATACAATAAAACAAAGAAAAACTGCAGTTGCATTATCACATGCAATAGCTTTGTTGCTCTGCAGTTTTTTATTAGAGCTTGATACAGATTTTATCAGGTAAAAATGATCTTGTTTTTGCTTTGCAGCACAACTACCTTGCTCAGGTCACATCTAATATCTGGGGAACCAAGTTTAAAATTGTGGGTTTGGCTGCTTTCCTACCAACTAACCTTGGTGCAGGTAAAAGTAAACTCTTGATTTTTTTAATTTTTTTTTTTGCATGTCAAATTCTTTCTAACAAACAACAAACTTGTGCCATGGGATTCTTTTTAAGTGATCAAAAGGCTTCTTTAACAAAGCACTTATTTTCTGTGGACCGTAGTAATCAGATTTTATGAAATTCACTGTAACTGAAAGAGATTAAAATCTATAACTTCAATAATGAGATGATCAGTAAAATGCTAAAAGTCTCACCTATAATAAATAAAATTAATTAACGTTCAAGCCCAGACCTTTATTTTTACAGTTTATTTGAACAAAGCCCACACGAATAAAAATAGTTTTTGTAAGAGGACTATAAAAATCATAGGTTTTAAGTTACTGTAATAGAAATATTTTCTAAAGTCAGATTTTTATAGTCATTTAGCTACTAATTGTACCAAAAGTAATGTTTAAAAAGCTCTTACAGCATCATGATCAAGATTCTTCAAGTCAGTGCATAGCCTTATCATGTGGCTCTCCTGCTGTGGAACATCAGTAATTTGGTAGCCTTCATTAAAAGCAGCAGTTGTCTAGTCATTCAGCCTTTTCCTGAGTAGGCCAGTTGTACCTCTGTAATGCTGTTGGAAGGAAGAAGGCAGAGTAAAGAACAGGGTACCACCCAGCAGAACTGAGCTCTGAATTCAAATATTAATGCAAGTATAGCAGTTTAATGAACTCTTTGGAAAACTTACTGTTTCCTGTGTTGCATTATATAGTTAGGTCAGGAGTACATAATGGTGCTCTGGATGCAGAATTGGGTAGATACCTTTTGTGGCTCTATGTCTGCTATCAGCAGTAGAACGAGCAAAGGTCATTCTAATGCTCTCATTGTCAGTGACGGGTAGGGAAGGATCTAAGTGTAGAGTAAGTGTACAGTGGTATGTCCTTCCAATGTTCTCCCACTCTCTAATGTTTTGGGTTTCAGGGACTTTCTGAGCCAGGAGGGGTTTCTTTGTACATCTTAATCTTCAACAGATTTCCTTCCTGAGAGCTTTACAGTTTTCCCCTAAAGTTGTGTAATTCTGTAGCATTGAGGTCCAAAAGTAGAATGGAAAAAATACATTTCTTCCATAAAAATAGATGTGAATGAAAGATGAAATAATTCATTACTTCTACATATTATTTAACTACACAGATGCTGCTTCCCTTTAAAGAGGAATAGCTGAAAGTAACAATCTCTTTCATCCCATTTGTGCAAGGTGTAACACAGTGATTTGACAAATAATGGCTCACCCATGCACATGTACACAGTAAATAAAAAGTCATAGCCCTTCTATCCGCTTTGAGTTGATTCTTTCTTAGCTTTAAATGCTCTTTGTGTAACAGCTTTTTAATTTTTTTTTTTATTTCTTGTTATACTCTTTCTCCAGTAATATATAAAACCAGTTTGCTGCATCTGCAGCCCAGGCAAATGACAATATATCTCCCAGAAGTGCGGAAGATTTCAATGGACTACATTAACATGCCTGTCTTTAATCCAAATGTTTTCAGCGAAGACGAAGATGATTTGCCAGGTAAGGAGGAGCTGGAGCTCTGCCATGTTTGGGGTTAAGCTAGATGGAGGACAGATCACTTGTGTCACGGGTCCCCTCTTAGTAAACGCACAAATCAAAATCCCATATTCTGATGGGATCCTGTGGAACTGAATTAGAATAAGGCTAATATGTATTATGGGCATTGTATTCTAAAATATGTGGAAAATATAATCCATATGGAACTGCAAAGTTTCAAGTTGACTGGAAAATTAGTCATCTTCGAATTCATCTTAGTTGCTAAGAATTCTCTGTAGACTGAAGCCTTTCATTCTACATCTTGATAGGACAGAATTGTAATGTGTTGGAAGCCCAAACAGGTTGTTTTGTGACCTGATGGCATCAAAGCACAGCCTGCTGATAGGAACTTGAGCTGGAGAACAGGTTCCCATAAAACTCAGCCGCTCTTTGAGAAGCGATAAATGACCATTTGGATTTTTATCAATACAAAGAGGCTAAAATAGTAAAGTAGTGGATAAACAAGGGGGATCAGGAGGAATTTTTCATTTCACGGTAAGATGTAAGGTAGCAGAAGATTCAAGTGGTGCAGGGGAGGCTTGGCTGTAGGCAAAAGGACTGGAAATGCTCAGGTCCTCCTCCAATCAAACAAAAATCATCATGCCAGTAAATGTAACAAGGAAGATAAATGAATACATTTCCAGAATTTTAATATTGGTGAGGGATTCCTGTTGCCAGGTCACAGGTTTTTGGAACTACAGAAGTGGCCATGATACCAGTGCCCTTTAAGGAGGAAGGAGTGTGAGCGCTGAAAAGCAATTAAAGGCTTGTGCTAGAGGCTACTGAAATAAATGGAAATGCTCCCATTATTTCTGACCAGGGTTTCAACTGCGGAAAGCACCAAAGCTTGTGCCTGAGCCAAACATCAGAGTAGTCCTCTGGGCTTCTAAATAAATACTAGGATGTTTAAAATGAAGCCCATTTTTTCATGATTTGGAGGACTTGGCTTGCCTAATTTCTGTCTACATGCTCATCCTGGAGGATCTGAAGACAATAGTAGAGACATTGATGATTGTATATATATTATTCATAGGAAGCACTCAGCAATCTGTATTATGGAACATGGTCCAAGCTCTGACAAAAAGTAATATAAAAACTAAATAGAAAAGAAAAAGAGTTAATATAAAGTGTTTGCATCCCTTTCTGAAAATTGGCTTAGATCTGCAGTATAAATTCCATGTATCTTATTAAAAGAGATGAAATGGTACTCAGAATTGCAGGTATACCACATAAATAGAGACAAAATTATTAGAGAGTTTTGTTATGGCTCTTCGAGAAGACTAATAAAAGGCTCATACTACCCTCTCCTCCATAACAACCTTCCTCTTCTTGTGCACTTTTTCCTTTCTAAGTTCTTCTGAAAATTAATTTCTGACTTAGCAGCTGGAGGCTACTTAAGTCTTCTGAAATGTTGTTGGGGATATCCCTTCTTAAAGGCTGCATATAAAGGAAAAAAGTGCCCTGTACTAATGGGAAAAATAATGCAGTGTAAATAATGATTACATGACAGAAAAAATAGTAGAAAGCTGCTCTTGGGCAGAGGAATGTTCATAGTGAGATGCACTTGGGACAGATGTTTTTTAATGTAGTCAATAAAGGTTTTGGCAAGACAAATGCAGAGTGAATTGATTTAACATGCAAAGTATGCAAACAAATCAATTAAAAACTATTGGAGAAATGAAGAAAATATTGGATTTTAAACACTTTGGAATATTAAGCAACACCACAACAAATGAGATATTGTTTGATAAGGCCCTTAATACCCACAACAGTGACATTTGGTGTTGCTCAAGCCAAGCTAACCACTAAACCTCAAGCCCTGGCACCTAAATGACTAACCTGCAGGCATCAGGACGAAAGCATGGCCTGCCAGCCAAGCACAGGGCCACACTGCCTTAGGGGCAGTTAAGTTAGCTGTCAGTCTTCTTCTAAAAAATTACCAGAACTGCCAAAAAATATTTACCAGTATAGCCACAGTCCTATCTGCCACGTTCATGGCTGATGCTGACAAAAGCCTAATGATGTCAAAAAGTTACTTATAGGGCATAGGTAGATGACTAGAATTTTAATTAGAAATTAATTAGGAACTGGGCAGCATCTGGAGGAGTCCTGACTAATGGATCTCTTGCCTGATCTGGTCTTGCAAATCAGAGGACAGAATCTGGCACACTTAAAGGATCTGGATATGACACTAGGATCCTGGATCTTGTCTCTTTTCCCTTCACAAACCTGCTGATACAACTCACCTTTTTCTGTAGTATTTTTACAGGAAGAATCATAAATAATAAAGAGCTTACAATATTCTTGGGAGTTCTAATACAGTATTTACTGTTTCTCCTCATTATTCTATTTTGTTCCTTCTTATCTTGACTTCTGCACCTGTACTTGGGTCCAGTGTCTTCATTTCCCTGCTCCAGATTTCAGTGGTAGTTCCTGTTGAAATCACTCTCACCACTTTTTGCACAGAATTGCAAGCAATTGAGCATACTTCGTTCTTCTGCTTAAAATCTAGAGAATTGCTTCTTCACACATGGTCCCTTGTTCATCACCTCCGTGTGTGGGAAATTTTTCCTAGATGCATTTGCTTCTTTTCATATTTCTGACTGCAGCCTGTCCAAACATTGATGCTAAAGTTGCCCTGACTACAGTACCCATTTCTTGAATCTTTTTGGCTTGCCATCTATTTTGTCACATCTTGCCCTTACATTTCCCATCTGGCTTCCCATCATTCTTCACATCTTTCCTTACAAATCTTTTAAAAACTTATAAAAAAGTTTTGTTTGCATTTCATTGCATCGTATTCCTCTCTCTCAGTTTCATCTTCCTTTTTGCATTACTGGTTGGTTTGTCACCCACTATACTCCAGAGACAAGAGTACTTCCCTTTTCTGAATGGTCATCTGTATTCTCCAGTTTTCCTAAGCTCATTGAGTCTAGGAACATTACACTAGATACTTACACAGTGCCTCAGTGCAGGGCGTTGACTTTCTTATTCTCTGCTTGTTTCTTTTGTTTGTTTGTTCTATTGTTTGTTGATGTATTTACTATCAAAAAGCCCTCCCTGAAAACTAGTGAGTCCGGATTAGCAGAACTTTTATTGATTCAAGTAGAAGTAGTTAAAACCAGATGATGAGTGAGTGGTAATTCAGATCGTGAAAGTCCATGGGAAGTGTAGTGTGGGCTGAAAGTGAGCTCAGAACTTTACCTTGGGATTGTCGCTCCCAAGAAGTGTCGTTAAAGTTGATTACCGGCTGTTACAGCGGCAGTCAGGGGAGATGGGCTGGCTTAGGCGTTCAGATCGAGGGCTGACCCATTGGTGTTGGGAACTGTTAGCAGCACATCAGGTGCAGCGGAGCGCTTAAGGTATCAAATGTTTTAAAAAGTCCCTCTTTGCCTGGGGCGGCCCCACAGCACGGGGCTCTGCCGCGGCGCGGGAGGGATGGCCGGGGAGGGAGAGGAGGCCGAGCGGGAGTGACGCCGTGTTGTTGTTCGCAGTGCCCGGCGCGCCCG